GGGCAATGGACTTTACGTCAAATATTGACAACCTTCCCAGACCCTCTGTATCTTGAAGACTAGGAGGTTCTGGGTGACCGAGACTAATAATACACTCATGAAGTAATTATCAGAAAACCATTAGAATTTGTTTGGTTTTTAATATCATGGATTTAGCTGTTCAAGTCATAAAAATTCATTGAAAATCAATGTACTTGATCGTCTCAAGCTCTTAAACTCTGTGTATCAATCTGAAGTCAATCGGATGATAACTTTAGCCTCTAGAGCGTCACAAGATTTTTCAAAGTGATCAAGGGCCATAACTGTGACAGTAATTATCGAAAATCACTGAAAATGAATAGACTTCTTTGTCTCGTGACCTTAAACACTGGAATAAATTTAAAGTCAACCGGATATAGACTTTGGCCTCTAGAGCGTCCACAAGATTTTTCAAAGTGATCAAGGGCCATAACTCTGGCAGTAAATATCGAAAATCACTGAAAATGAATAGACTTCATCTCATGACCCTAAACACTGTGTATAAATTTAAAGTCAATCAGATATTAACTTTAGCCTTTAGAGTGTCCAGGGGATCACGGTGGCTAAGTGGGTAAGGCGCTGGCTCGCTAGCCTGGAGGTAGGGTGTTCGATCCCTGCATTGGCCAAGAAAGTTCATCCCGATTTTCCGGCGTGGTTCCCCCTTGTCAGTGATGCAGGACGGAGGGCCTGACAAGGACAGCTGTCTAGTCATTCGGATGAGACAAAAAACCGAGGTCCCGTGTACACATTGGCGTGCACGTAAAAGATCCCTTGACAGTTGGAATTCGATATAAGAGTAGGCCGTAGTGCCGCTGTCCGGGCAAAATTTCCCTCATAGCACACTGTATGGCGTATGCCCGTCTTCATTAGCCCAGTTCGGAGCAAAACAGTAGGACATTAAACCCCATTTCATTTCATTTCATTTCTTTAGAGTGTCTAAAAGATTTTTCAAAGTGATCAAGGGCCATAACTCTGGCAGTACTTATCGTAAATCGCTACTTCGTCTCATGACCTTAAGCACTGTGTATAAATTTAAAGTCAATCGGATATTAAGTTTGGCCTCTAGAGCGTCCACAAGATTTTTTGAAGTGATCAAGGGCCATAACTCTGGCAGTAATTATCGAAAATCGCTGAAAATGAATAGACTTCTTCGTCTCATGACCTTAAACACTGTGTATAAATTTAAAGTCAATCGGATATTAACTTTAGCCTCTAGAGCATCCACAAGATTTTTCAAAGTGATCAAGGGCCATAACTCTGGCAGTAATTAACTGAAATCGCTGAAAATCAATAGGCTTCTTCGTCTCATGACCTTAAACACTGTGTATAAATTTAAAGTCAATCGGATATTAAGTTTGGCCTCTAGAGCGTCCACAAGATTTTTTGAAGTGATCAAGGGCCCTAACTCTGGCAGTAATTATCGAAAATCGCTGAAAATGAATAGACTTCTTCGTCTCATGACCTTAAACACTGTGTATAAATTTAACGTCAATTGGATATTAACTTTGACCTCTAGAGCGTCCACAAGATTTTTTGAAGTGATCAAGGGCCATAACTCTGGCAGTAATTATCGGAAATCACTGAAAATCAATAGGCTTCTTTGCTTCATGACCTTAAACACTGTGTATAAATTTAAAGTCAATCGGTTATTAACTTAAGCCTCTACAGCGTCCACAAGCAATTGTGGACAAACGGACAAACGGAAGGACCGACGGATGGGGGCGACGACAATATACGACCACATTTCAATGTGGGCGTATATAAAAATGGAAGCAGAATCAATCAAATCCAGCAATACCAATTCATTTTATACATTTGTTACATGTAACTGATCCTGACAAAATTACATTACTTCCAATGATAATGAAAATGTATGATCGTATGGGTTTAATCTATTTGTTGATTGGAATCAAATGTCATAATTTTAAAAAGATTACAAATCAGACCCATTTGAATGAACAATATCTCTTTTGAAGGCTCAAAATATAGTTTTTGTCCAAATCACGTCATTTCCGGTGACATTGTAAATGTTAAAATGGTTTGACCTAATCCAAACTGGCATTAGGCATCAAATGTTAAAAAAAATTGAAAATCGAATGAATTGACTCTTTCACAGGCTAAATAACGCGAAAAGTGACGCATGCAAAATTGCCTATTTCTCGGCAACTGTGCATATTACAAATTAAATTTCACATACATTCTTATCGTATGGATTATTGTTACGAGTTTATGAAAGTTACAAAGAAATATTTGAAAATATGAAGACGCTGGATGGGTTATAAATCGCTTAATTTTGCACCTTTTTTCACCTTTTAATTGAAATAGCCCAAAAATGAAATCGAAATTTAAAAAAAAAAAGAGCCCGACATTTTGTGCGTCTTGAATGGGTGCACCCTTTCAGTTATACCAGATTTGAAAAAAATAATATTTACTTTCAAAAAGTGGTATCGAACTGTCAAATTTGTAGTTTTGGGTAAAATTATGTCACTTTGGGTGCCGACAGGAAACTTTAACGGTAACAAAAAAAGTGACATTTCGAAAACGAACCTAATGAAGTTTGTTTTATACAAATCGAACAATAAATAATTAATTTTGGACCGAAAAACTAAATTAGCCAATAGCGGCTAACGCAAATTACTGAAACAAAAAATTTTCACATTTTTGGTCAAGTCAGATGACAATTTAATTTTGTGTAAAATACCATCAAAAAATATTCATAAATAAAAAAGTTTTTTGTAAAAATTTTAATTTTCAAAATTTCACGCCTAATATAAGCGAGGATTCGTCGAAAATAAAAAAATCTGAAGTACAGTAGCTATTCGCCCTGTGTCCGGCTATGTCAAAATTTACCAAATGTTAAAATCCGCCGATTATTGTAAATATTACGGCAATATTTAAAAAAACGACAACTTCGGTGATTTCGGACATTTCGCATTGTCGCAGAATGTTCGAAATAGATTTAATCTTTAAGTCATGTCGACTTTCCCGTACCACCAACGATATATCATCGATCCGACAAGTAGTTTCTGAGATATGCTCAAGTGGAAAATAAAACGGCCAACGTGTTGGATGATTGTTGTTTTGGTAAACCAATCATCACTAGAACTGCGACGCAGTAATGACGGGTTTCACCGGTGCCCTGTTATCCTTGAACATACATGTATGTCACTTCCGGTACCGATGAAACCATTAAACAGGTTTGCATATAAGCATTGCACACATCAAATAAAATGTACGCAGAATCAACCAAATCCAGCAATATCAATTCATTGTATACATTTGTTACATGTAAGTGATCCTGACAAAATTACATTACTTCCGGTGATAATGAAAATGTTAAATTAGTTTTATGAAATCAGAAATGGCATAAGGCATCACATGGTGAAAATTTTATGTAAATCGAATAATAATTTCCACTTCCGGTGATAATGAAAATCTTAAATTACTTGAATGAAATCGTAAATGGCATTAGTTATCACACATAATAATTGACACTTTTATGGACCAAAAAAACCTTGAAAAGTTGCCTGTTGAAAACCGTCTATTTCTCCTTAACTGAACAAGGTAGAAACCATTTTGTGATATCTATATGATCGTATTGACATTACGCATCAAATGGTGTCACTTTTGTGAAAATCCAATAATAATTGACTCTTTTACAGGCAAACTAGCGTAAAAAGTGACTCATGCAATATTGCCCATTTCTTGGAAACTGCTCATATTACAAACTAATTTTCACATTCATTCTCTTCGTATGGATTATTGCTTCTAGTTTATGAAAGTTGCGAAGAAATATTTTAAAATATGAAAAGCCTGAATGGGTTGTGAATAGCTCATTTTTTCACCTTTAAATCGAAATGATCCGAAAACGAAATAAAACAAACTGAGCGCGATGATTTCAGCGCCTTAACAGGGCACACACTTTCAGTCATACCAGATTTGAAAAAAATAACATTTGCTTTCAACCAGCGACTGCCAGGCAGGATACGCCCACATTTTCGAGAGATGGATAGAGAACAAGCTAAAAAGAAAGTGATTTTTCCTACAATCAAGGGCTATAATTCAGGAAATTACAATTCGATATGCGTAAATATCGAAAGGAACCGAGATCTTTGGGTTATAAACTTACATTTCAAGTTTCAACAAAATCGGATAAAAATTGTGACCTCTATAGTGTCCAGAACCTTGATATACCATATTTTTACGCTACTTGAGTCCACAAGTCCACAAGCTAAAAACACGATTTTTCATACAATCAGGGGCCATAATTCAGGATGTTACGGTCCCATATGCGCGATTATCGAAAGGAACCAAGATCTTTGTGTTATAAACTTACATTTCAAGTTTCAACAAAATCGGATAAAAATTGTGACCTCTATAGTGTCCAGAACCTTGATATACCATATTTTTACGCTACTTGAGTACGAGGGACGGCCATTTTGTCTGTCAATTTTGGGCTGAATTTCACGAAATTCAAACTCGGCCGTCCTTGGGGTGTAACGATGATATAATAATACGATTTTTTAAATCGGATAAAAATTATGACTTCTATAGGGTCCACAAGCTAAAAACGCGATTTTTCGTACAATCAGGGGCCATAATTCAGGAAGTTACGGTCCGATATGCGTGAATATCGAAAGGAACCAAGATCTTTGTGTTATAAACTTACATTTCCAGTTTGAACAAAATCGGATAAAAATTGTGACCTCTATAATACATTTATACGGTCGAACATTGATAGTTTTTGCGATTTTGACTGTTTTTTTATTTTTTTTATTGGTCGACCATGACCTTTGACCCCACCCCAAAATTTTTTCCCAAGCGATCATGATGGTTCATTTTTTTTTCTAGAGTACCTGCGATCCCCACCTTTCATTTGAGACCAACTTTGCTTTGATGGGACCTTTTTCCAGCAGACTATGAAGTTACTACCCACTATTAATCATACTTTCCTTTTTATTGCATATACCTAGGGTTAAACAGTGGTTTAAAGAATATTTTATTTCAAGTAGAGATATATATATATATATAAATACACAGAAATAATGAGATTAAGTCAAAGACATATAAATATTGGTCATCCTTAATAAGTATGAAAAGTTTTCAAGACAATCGATTAAGAATTCCAGCCTGTAGGCGACACAGAGACACACAAAAAGAAAATGGACGTGGCTCTGCCCCTGGGAGTTGAGCCACTCGGCAAACCTCGGCAGATTCCGTTACTCTACATCTAGCCTCAGCTGTATGACGGTAAGTGATATGTACCTACGCCTATACAATTGCGATGCGGCACCGGATTACTTCAGTGCAAAGTTGTCCTTGTTTGAAGAAATATGGATGTTCCTTAGGGTATAAGGAATAATTATGTAAAATTTCAAGATGATACGTTAAGAAATCCGGATTGTAGACGAAAAACCAACACAAGAAATGGGCGTGGCTCTGCCCCTGGGGGTCGCGCATGCATCATAAACAATAGAGATCATCTTTAGGATATAAGGAATGAGTATGTAAAGTTTCAAGATGATCAGTTAGGAATTGCAGCCTATAGGCAAAGCATGGACACACACACATACACACAGGAAAATAAATTGTAAATCTTGTGTACGAATTCAAATATTCTCAAGTGGACTATGTTTTTTGTATTAATACTTAATAAATTAAGCCAAAGAAAATAAATTGCAAATCTTGTGTACGAATTCAAATATTCTCAAGTGGACATTTAAAAACCATAGGCTGCCAGGCAACGAAACATAAGCCTACAGCAGCTAAATTGTCCGTGCAGTTGACAAGGTTTCTTCGTTTTACTATTCTAATAATGCATATCAATTTAATACAGATCTGATGATAACTTTAGTCATTAGAGCGAACGCAAGGTTCTACAAAGTGAAAGATAGGTTGCCATCCAACAGCAGCTAAATCGTCCGAGCAGTCGACAAGGGTTGTCGCATATTTATTTTTTGTAGGTAATTAGGGCAATTTAATAGACAATTTCATACAGATGACATTATAATTTTCTTCGTTGGAGGGTTCACAAGGTTCTAAAAACTAAAACAAGGGCTGTAACTCTGGAAGTAATCTACAGAAATTGATGAAATTCGACTGGCTTTTTCGTTTTACTAATTCAAATAATGCATATAAATTTCATACAGATCAGATGATAACTTTTGTCGTTCGAACAATCACAAGGTTCAACAAAGTAAAACAAGGGCCATAACTCTAGAAGTAATTGACGGAAATTGCTGAAATTCAATAGGCGTCTTCGTTGCACTAATTTAAATGATGCATATCAATTTCAAACAGATCGGATGATAACTGTTGTCATTAGAGCGTTCAAAAGATTCAACAAAGTGAAACAGGAGCCTTAACTCTAGATGTAATTAACGGAAATTGCTGAAATTCAATAGACTTCTTTGTTTTACTAATTTAAATGATGCATATAAATTTCATACAGATCAGATAATAACGGAAATTGTTGGAATCCAATAGGCTTCTTTGTTTTACTAATTTAAATGATGCATATAAATTTCATACAGATCGGTTGATAACTTTTGTCGTTAGAGCGTTCACAAGGTGCAACAAAGTGAAACAAGAGCCATAACTCTAGAAGTAATTGATGGAAATCGCTGACATTCAATAGGCTTCTTCATTTCACTAATTTAAATGATGCATATGAATTTCAAACAGATTAAGTGATAACTTTTGTCGTTCACACGATTCAATAAAGTTAAACAAGAGCCATAACTCTAGATGTAATTAACGGAAATTTGCTGAAACTCAATAGGCTTGTTCGTTTTACTAATTTAAACCATTCATATAAATTTCATACCGATCGGTTAATAACTCCAGAAGAAATTAACGGCTTCTTCATCTCACTAATGCAAACAACCAAAACAATCCGATGATAAATGTAAACGATAGAGTGTTCACAAGAAATTGTGGACAATCGACGGACGGACGGGGGCGACAGCAATATACGACCACATTTCCATGTGGGCATATAAAAATGGGTCACAACTCTTAGAATTAATTAGCTTAAATAGGCTCTTCCGTTTTACTAATGTAAATAATACACGTGAATTTTATACGGATCGGATGATAACTTTTGTCAATAGAGCATTCAAAAGGTTCAACAAAGTAAAATAAGGGCCATTACTCCAGAATCTATTCATGGAAATCGCGGAAATTCAATAGGATTCTTAGTTTTACTAACGGCAATATATGACCAAATTTCCATGTGGGTGTATAAAAAGAAGAGTTTTATATACATTCAGAAATGCAATGAAAACAAAAGCCAACAGTCTAATGTCTCCCGCCCAATCTCATATTACATATAACACAACACAGTTCTATGGATAACAATCACTATATTATATACACACGACGTTTCGACAAGAATTCACTGGTCGTTGAAACTAGGCGTTCACTTAAAAATGTTGCCCAAACAGTGACAATGTTTAGCATTATCCGCATTTGTATATTACTTTCTTGTGTTTTTCCACATATAAATTTAACTGTATTTATTGTGATTAAAGGTTAAATTCTTTGAAATTCTAATTAGGCTATACAGCATTTAAGTTTTCTAGTCAGTCGATCTCACTGACAGTCAACTGGTCGATCTCACTGACAGTCAGAATCTAAGATTATTTCCTATATATTACAAAAAAATAATCTATAGGTTATTTCCAATATATTACAAAAAAAGATATTACATTTATTTCTTGGTGAAAATGATCCTGCATGAAAACTAACACATTGATATACAGACTTATAATTTTTATGAAGACTAAGGGTCATCACAGGATATCAGTTCGAACCCATAACTTTTCGTAAGAAGAATTAACTGCATAGGATTTGAAAAAAGCAAGAAAACTATAAAAAGCAATTCACGCATCACCTAGTTTTTATATAATTATATAACTCTCCTTTAAAAAAATATCAATTATTTATGTATCTGTGTGAGTACAAACTTTATCACATACTAGATCTTAGCATTAAGTAACAAGCATTAGATCAAAATAGTTTTTCTGTCAGATCATATTTAATGTATTGCATTAGTAACTTTCAAAAATGATAATGTATGCATAGAAATTAAGCCCTCCTTTTTTTATAATAAGCATTGAAATTGAAACACTAATAAAACAAATCAACAGTGAGACTGATGTCTCCTGCCGGAATCACAAAATGAACAGATGACACATTAATTAATTGCACATTTATCTTTTTCAAAAGTATCGAGTAATCAAACTGATTATCTATGTTTAAGTCTAAGCATAAAATTTTCACTGTCAAACTCAGGTTTTGAAGTACCTGGTAGTGAGTGAAACTATACAATAAGTTTGATCACTCTCCGTCAGTCAGAATCAATGTTATCTTGTCCCAAAGCATCGATCAAAGAAATTGGTTAGGTCTGCTTAGCTTTAATGGGAAATACTAATCATTGAACTTATCAATTCTCATTATCGAACTTAGTCAATGTATTGATATAATGAATCTATACTCAGAGTGTCATGTGTCTCAACCCTGTGCTGTTAGGATCGTTGTTCCACAAGGATCTGTATTGGGACCTCTACTTTTTCTTCTATACATTCTTCCAATTGGTCAAATCATAAGACATGGGGTACAAAACCATGGCTTTGCTGATGACACCCAAATATATGACTACTTTCAACACAACAACTATCTTGCTTAAAGGATTCTAACATTAGACTAGAGTCTTGTCTTAAATGACATTTGAGGATGGATGACCAGAAATAGGCTAAAACTTAACGATGACAAATACAAATTTCTTGTCATATCATCAAAATCACAATCCAGTAAATTGTTTAAAGTGGATTCCATTCAGATAGGTGATTGCTCTATATCTCCCAAGACGCAGGCTAAAAATCTTGGCTATGTGACCGATGAATTTATGTCCCCAGTTCCCCAAATCAATAGTATCATACGGAAAATGCATCTTCAAATGAGAGCTCTTTCGAGAACACGCTCTAATCTTAATATTGATGCTTGCCAGAGTGTTGTTAGAGCATTAGTAACATCGCATATGAACTATGCAAATTCTTTTCTATTAGGAGCACCAGAAACAGCTTTAAACAAACTACAAATAGAGCAAAACAGTGCTGCATGTATCATAACTAGAACACGAAAATTTGATCATATATCAGCTAAGTTACAGAAACTCCATTGGCTTCCAGTTCGAGTGAGGGTTCAATTTAAAGCTCTTGTGAATGTGTTTAAATCAATTTATTCTGACACTGCACCCAGTTATTTAAAAGAACACTTTGATTTCTATTCTCCCCAGCGATCCAATCTTCGTTCTTCAAGTGATCGTAGCATATTGAGGATTCCTAAATATAATAAACGTTCTGGTGAATATGCTTTCTCCGTCAGAGCAGCTAAAATGTGGAATGATCTTCCAAAAACTCTTCTAGAGTCCTCTTTCATCCAGAGTTTTAAGACTAACTTAAAAACCTATTTATTTCAAAAATGATTTTGGAACTGTTTTGTTGTGAATGCGCTCAGAAACACTTATGTGTAATTATGCGCTATATAAATCGAACAATAATAATAATAATAATAATTCTCTCCCAATTAGAACCAAAGTTATCGTGTTCCAAAGTCTCAACCAATCAAATTGCTTACCTCTGCTTAGCCTAAGTGGAAAATGTGCATGATCGAACTATGTCAAGGCACTCACATAATAGACACCAACACCAATTTTGAACATTTTACCTCAATTAGAAGAGAGTTATTGTGTTCCAAAGTCTCAACCAATCAGATTGAAGTCTCTATTTCAGCATCGAGCCTTGTTAAGGTATTGATGTAATAAAACTATACACAAAGTTTCACCACTATCACTCGACCAAAATGCTTATCGCTTTGCTTACCCTGAGCCGAAAATGCTCTTATAATCAAACTTCATCATGGTATTGATGTGATGAAACTATACACCAAGTTTCAACTTAATTAGAACCAAAGTTTTCGTGCCCCAAAACATCAACCAATCCAATTGCTTAACTCTGCTTACCCTAAGCAGAAAATGCTCATCTTCAAACTCCATCAAGGCACTGGCCTAATAAACACCTACACTAAGTCTGAACATTCTAGCTCAATTAGAAGGAGAGTTATTGTGTTCCAAAAAGTGTGACGGACGGACAAACCCATTTAAATAGTCCCCTCCTTTCTTCGAATAACCACAAAAAAACAAATGTGTTTGCAAGAAAACAACTATGACAATAGACTAACACCAGAATGACATCAAAATGGGGTTTTCCAAGCAGAAAGTTATGGCGCAGAATCGTTGTCATATTAAGAGAGAATATCATGGTTAAAATTACATAGCCAAAAGGATAAAAATGGCCATTTTCGAGATTTTTCGCTTGTAAATATCACATAATACATATTATGTATATTTTGCACCAGGAAAATCACAATATTTGTATTAGAACGAAAATGACTAGACAAAAATTAACAGTGTAAAATCTAGTTATGATTTTCTCACTCTATACTTTTCGCCTTTGAAAATTCACTGTAACTTTTTTATCTTTGCATTTTCAATTATCAGATTGTCTCCATTGCATTTTCTCCAATTAACTGAACATATAAATAAAAGAGCAACTACGTAATCCATTAGATTTCAATACTGACACTGGCTAAGTTCAATCACAACTATCATGATCGATTGAAAAGGTAAATTAAAATATTCTTGGAAACCGACTCAGCAATAACAATAATACACACCACTTTTCAGGGATATTTTTTTTTTTAAATTTTCCACAATTTACAGATCTTTCTTTAATGACAGAAACATGATACTCTTTCATTCCTAATTGTCTTGTTTGCAAATATTGCAATGTTTAATAACTGCAAAGCTTTTCTTAATAGGCACCTCCTCTGTAGTTACACTTATTTTAGACATAAGCCCAGTAATCCACTCCCATTCATACCAATGTACTGTCAAAGATTAAAATAATTTATAATAATAATTTATCATTTATATAGCGCCGAATATCCAACGAATTTATTACAATATTTTCAAAAAATTAATCAATAAAATTGGACAGTTCTTAAGAGTAATGAAAAACCCAATGGAGCATTAATTTTAGCCGAGACGATAAATACTGGGGTCTGTTTCACAAAATTTTAACTAAGATAAAATTCAAATTTTAGTAATTTGATTGGATAATATTAGGTTAATTTTAGTGCTTAGCCAATCAAAATTGAGAGAGAGATAGAGAAATGGGGTTTAACGTCCACTCAACACAAACTAGGTCATTTCGGGACTAACATATGGTTTAATTTTATTTCAATATTTCACTTGCGCGTAGGGGTCTTTAGCAGTGGGAGGAAACCAGAGGACCCGGAGAAAACCCACGAGATTGGACAGGCAATCAAAATTGAAGTATCTACTAAATTTTGGATTTTAACTATTAGAGAAACAGGGCCCTGATGTCTTATGATGTCAACTTCGGCTGAATCCGGAATCACACCCTCCACCCGTTCGATTGCAGAAATTTGGGTGGTTGAAAATACAATGGAGACATTTTGATAGTTGAAAATGCAAAGATGAAAATGTTACAGTGAATTTGAAAATGTGAAAAATAGAAAGTAAAAAAAAAAACATAACTTGATTTTTACTTTCTTAATTTTTGTCAAGCAATTTTTGTTGTGGTTTGATTCTAATTAGTAATTGTGTGTTATGTGATATTTACAAGTGAAATATCTTGAAAATATCCATTTTTCTCTTAATATGATATTGATTCAGTGACATAGAAAGTCACGTGATGGAACAAACACTGCTGTTTGTTATTGTTATTGTACTACTGCCATTTTCAAGTTTAGTCTAACAATAACATAAATAAATTAGTAACCATGCAGACTAAACAATATTTGTGTGGAACTGCAACATATATAAATGTAAAGATTATATCGTCTGTGTCCGAAGCCATCAATTAACAATGAACGATGTAAACATTTGCATAAGTAAAATGACCATTCGATACAACAGCACCGTTATAATGGTTGTTCACAATTACAATAGGACCTTCAAAATAAGCATACAGCAGAAACTGGATCATTATTTGCATCTTGTGGAAAATCATTGGGTGAATAGAAACTAGGCCTACATGTAGATGTTAACTTGAATTCATTTTTCATTTAGTGAGGTGTGGCGGATGGGATATGAATTTTTTTTTTAGGTGTTTACCATAATTGATGGCTTTGGAAATGGATGGAAAGTAACATCGATCATATCTTTTATATTTGCTAGCACTGTTGCAGTTCCCCAACAAACATTGTTTAGTCAGCATAGTTACCAATTTTCGTTACTTGATAGTCTGAAAGTGAGAGTAGTAGTTTGCACTTCGTCACATGTTTTTCTTTTTGGAAAAACCCATTTGACGTCATTCTGGATTATGTATATTAGAAACCATAAAAAGTTGATCTTGTTTTTGAGCTTTTAATCATGATTGAGATAGCCTCCAGAGGCACACTGTTTTTGAGGTGCACAGTCAGGAACAGGATCAACTTTCTATGTCCTATTATTATTAATGGACCCATAACCTTGGATAAAGTTAACATCTACACATAAAGTTTAAATGTAACTGGATGATTGACTTAAAGCTGTGGAGTATCATCACCAGCATGCTGAGTAATAAAATTGAGAAGATCTATTCTTGTTGCTATACCAAATATCATCTGCTTCTTACTAATCGAATTAGCTCCAACATCTAATAAAAAAAACATATAATTATCATTAAAACCTGAATGTTGATTATCAATATGGTTTATCCACAATGCTTCACATAAAATTTGAAAAGAGTTTGTTAATCACTGTAGCCTATATCGTTTTCAAAATGTTTTCGGCTACGGGGTTTAACTCTACAGGGGAAAGTTGTGGAACTCTGAACTGATATGGTTCGTCCTCTCGTGACAAAACAAACTTTTACAGAATACACTAAAAAAACCTAGGCGTTATCGTCATCAGGTTTTCGGCACGGGTGATCATTCAAGAATAAATATGGTTCATTCTATCAGGACCACAATGCTTCATACCAAATTTAAAAAGAACCTGTTACAATATAGTCTCTATTGCGTTCACCTGATTTTCGGCAAAAGGGCACAACTCTGGAATAGAATATTGAAGAACACTAAATATCAATAGGGGTCGTCCTCCAATGACCCCAATGCTTCCTACCAAATTTGAAAGGAATATGCTAAAGATAGCTTATCGCATATTTTTTCTTTTGTCAGTAATGAGAACATTTACAACACATGAAAATCTGATTACAAGTAATAACCCATGAAGTAATTATAAGAAAACATTAGAATTTGTTTCGATTGTTTGTCTCATGACCTTAAAAAATTTATATTAACTTTAGCCTCTAGAGCGTCCACAAGATTTTTCAATGTGATCAAAGACCATAACTCTGGCAGTAATTATTGGAAATCAGTGAAAATGAATAGGATTCTTTGTCTTGTGACCTTAAACACTGTGTATAAATTTAAAGCTAATCGGATAGTAACGTTAGCCTCTAGAGCGTCCACAAACAATTGAAGTGGACGCCGGCCGGCCGACAATATACGTCAACATTTCAATGTGGGCGACAAGGTGTATAAAACCTAGATGATGCAAATCGATTACGCTGAAAATTTCAGTCAAATTGCTTCACTCTAAGCTGAGAAAACCTTATTTCAAAATCTCTGTAGCCTCGATTGTCATTGTTACCACAGTCACAATAATTAACAAAGTCTCGATTACATATTTTTATTTTAATCATCAACAGCAGGTTAGATTCAAATCCAATGAAAATCGGACCGATAAGATGGCATCGAGAGTTGATTATTGTCTTTTCATGTTAATAAATGTCTAATTAATAGTTTATATGACATTTCAGGCCTAAAGAAAGACCTGCAATAGGCAGATTTACCTCTGGAATAATTCATGTTTAAACGATTCATATAAATTTCATACAGATCGGATGATAACTTTTGTCGAGCGTTCAAGAGTTAAACAAGGGCTGTAACAGACATTGACGAAATTCAATAGGCTTCTTCAATTTTACCCAGGTGAGCGTATAAAAATTAAAGCCTGTATCGCGTTCACAAGGTTTTCTGCAAAGGGGTTTTAAATCCAGAACACTAAATATCCATAGAGTTCCCTTTCGCATGACCCCAATGCTTCAAACTAAATTTGACGTCCATTAAAAACTTTGAATCCCGGTTGTACGTGACAAGGAGTAGGGTCGCCTGTCCAACCTCATGGGTTTTCTCCGGGTCCTCCAGTTTCCTTCCACTGCTAAAAACCCCTACGCACAAGTGAATTATTGAAATAAAATTAAACCATATGTTAGTCCCGAAATGACCTGAGCGGACGTTAAACCCCATCTCTCTCTCTCTCTCTCCCATTAAAAACTGTAGCCTCTATTGTGTTCACAAGGTTTTCGGAAAAGAGGGGATAACGGGATAACTCTGGAATGGAAAGTCACAGAACTCTGAAAATCAATAGGGTTTATCCTTTCATGACCCAAATCCTTTCGACCAAATTTAAAAACTTTCAATAAAAACTACAGCCTCTATCGTGTTCACGAGGTTTTCGGAAAAGGAGCGTAACTGGTACGAAAGTCACAAAACGTTAAATATCCATGACCACAATGCTTTACTCTAAATTTGAAAAGAATCTGTCAAACACAGGCCAATTGTTGACGACAGACGAATCAAGAACATAATACGCCCACACTGTAATGTGGGCATATAAAATACATTTATTTTCGTTGTACTTACATTGTCTTTGATCATGAACAACTAGAACAAAGTGATCTGTATCTAGCAGCCGTGATAACTGACTCAATGTTGTACCCATTTCAATCTGCAAGATAAAGTTAAGTAATTAGTCTTATTTAGACAGTATCTGTTGCAATATATTGTGCAGTTGTACAAGATACAGAAAGGCAATCTCTTCTTTTCCTGTAATCAAATGCAACATACATAAAAACAACAAGCGAGATTAAATTAGAAAATAAAGGTGGCGTATAATTAAAGAGGCATTCAATTAAAGTGGTATATAATTACCATTTCGTCACACAATTACACTTCTGTAGTCAATGTGATAATCAATGTTCTTTCTACTTTTCAAAGCAGAACTGTTATGCCACTGTTCATTTTACCAGCCGCTGCCAGGCAGGATACGCCCACATTTTTCAAAAGATGGATAGAGAACAAGCTCAACAAAAAGCGATTTTTCGTAACATCAAGGGCCATAATTCAGGAAGGTTCGATCAGATATCGAAAGCAACCAAGATCTTTGGGTTATGAACATGCATTTCAAGTTTCATCAAAATCGGATCAAAATTGTGACCTCTAGAGGGTCCACAACCTTGATATACCAGATGTTTACATTATTTGCGTACCCAGGTAGGGGGTGGGGGCGTGGCCATTTTGTCTGACAGTTTTGGTCTGATTTTTTTTCATAGCACAGCTACTATGTCACATATAATCACGCAATGTCTTGGTGTAAATAAACTAACTTCCATCACGTAGCTTTGGCAGAGATTGACGTTCTTAGTACAAAGCTATCATATGGATTGTTTGAAAATCATTCGGTAATTGAACTTGAGGGATGTAAGTGACTGTTACGTATTCTTTCTTTCGCTTCTATATTTCGAATAATACAATGTCAAAATACAGGTCTTAATACATTTGATGGCATTTGAATTTATGAATTATTTTCTCCTGTTTATGAACAAACTAGACAGGTGATGGCACTGTTCAATGATCAGCGCTACAGACATCTGAAAGTAGACAGAAATCTGTGAGTGGTGAGTAGATGCCCAGATTTCTCTCATTAACCCTTTCATGTCGGTAAAATATGCGTACCCGGTATTACCGTGTACTCAGTAAAGCCCTCGCTAAAATTAGTACCATAACTGCAAGTGCCATCTATTGTATTTTCAATACACTAAAACATATTTCCACGTGTTTCAAAGCGGCAAACCGTAAAATGGCGGAGTGCATAGTGACAACGTAGATGATGCACTCTCGACGAAGTCGTGAATGACGTCTTGCTGACCAACACGTGGACAATTTCGAGGCGGGTGATACACATAATTCGTTTCCAGTTACTTGATAATGATAGTAGTCAGGACAGTGATTGGTATTATGAAGTGTGTGATTTTTTGCGCGACGTTCCGCCCATGGCCAGCTATGTCTCCCGTGCATGATGAACAAGCCCAATGTGAACACGATAGCCCTGTGTCTGCAGGAGATTCTGACAATAATTCTGATGTTGATAATAATGCTGGCCTGCTGGATCGTAAAAGACGTAGGCAATTCCCGAGTCCCGAACGTGTAGATCTATTGACTGACTATATTGATAATGATATGGGACTTGGGGATGAAAGTGAAAGTGAAAGTAAAAACAAGGTATTGCAATCCGCACATGGTCATGGCAGCGGGAGACGTGATGCGCGTGTTTGTGGTGGCATTGCTCATGGCTGCTATTGATATTTTTGTTCATTTTATATATCTTTATCAAAATCCAGTGAAAAAAACAATATCTCATAAGTATTTCATGGAGAAAAATTCGTTTTCGTGTTAGCTTTAGTGAGAAATGAGAAATCCAAAATGGCTGCCACGACGTCACGTGACTACATTATTATGCAAATTTCCAAAATTCTATTTTTTCTTCTTAGAGCAACCTCATGCCCATCCCAACAGACAAAAAGATTTTTCGTAAAAGCTTCCATAAGTACTGTTTGGCATTCAGTTCCAACCCCCCTTTTTTCCTCAAACCAGCGGCTGCCAGGCAGGATACGCCCACATTTTCGAGAGATGGATAGAAAACAAGCTAAAACGAAAGTGATTTTTCCTACAATCAATGGCCATAATTCAGGAAATTACAATTCGAAAGGAACCAGTTTTAAACTTACATTTCAAGTTTCAACAATATGCGCAAATATCAAAAGGAACCAGTTTTAAACTTACATTTCAAGTTTCAACAAAATCGATAAAAATTGTGACCTCTATAGGGTCCACAACCTTGATATACCATATTTTTACGCTATTTGAGAACGAAGGGCGGCCATTTTATCTGTCAGTTTTTGGCCGATTTTCACGAAATTCGAACTCAGTCGTCCTTAGGGTGTAACAGTGATATAATAATATGACTTTTTAAATCAGATAATAATTATGACCTCTATAGGGTCCACAAGCTAAAAACGTGATTTTTCTTACAATCAGGGGCCATAATTCAGGAAGTTACGGTCCGATATGCGCAAATATCGAAAGGAACCGAGATCTTTGGGTTATAAACTTACATTTCAAGTTTCTACAAAATCGGATAAAAATTGTGACCTCTATAGGGTCCACAACTTTGATATACCATATTTTTACACTATTTGAGAACGAAGGACGTTCATTTTGTCTGTCAGTTTTGGGCCGATTTTCACGAAATTCGAACTCAGCCGTCCTTAGGGTGTAACGGTGATATAATAATACATTTATTTAAATCGGATAAAAATTATGACCTCTATAGGGTTCACAAGCTAAAAACGCAATTTTTCGTACAATCAGGGGCCATAATTCATGAAGTTACAGTCCGATGTGCGCGAATATCGACAGGAACCGAGATCGTTGTGTTATAAACTTACATTTCAAGTTTCAATAAAATCGGATAGGGTCCACAACCTTGATATACCATATTTTTACGCTATTTGAGAACGAAGGGCGGCCATTTTGTCTGTCAGTTTTGGGATGATTTTCACGTAATTGGAACTCAGCCGTCCTTAGGGTGTAACGGTGATATATTAACACGTTTTTTTTAAATCGGATAAAAATTATGACCTCTATAGGCATACATGCCAACCTGAGGAGATTGAAAATCAGAATGCCTTGTATTGAGGGTAGAGCGAGGACCGCAGGTCCAAGTTCGATCGGTGCAAAGCAGCGTGAGCGCTGGAGGCGCAGGAGGCTTGAAGGGCGTGGTGTTTGGGGCCCACCCAAGGGCCCCAAGAAAATTTTGAAAAATTAGCACCTATTTAAGGCAGTACCTTGTATTATTGGATAAAAACAGCTGGTGATTTAGGTCCATGCATCTGAGGTTTTTTACCTATTTATTTCTATACACGAAAGTATGCTTTTGGTCATTTACATGTAGGCATGACCTAAATTTGTTGTTAAGTGAAGATAATAGATTACCATTAGCTATGTGCTTAGTTGGGATCGACATTAAGTATATGTTAGTTAAAGGGGTAGTCCCAAATAATCCAGGCCTCGAGTTAAGAAAGAAAAAAATCCCAGTTCATATTTTGGAAGCCATTTTGTTTGTCTTGACGACCGACACGGAAGTAGAAGTTGTAAATTTTTTATACTGGGTTTTATTTATAATTGTAATTTGTTTTTTTTTCACACATGGAAAACAGCTTGAAAACATTTTTTATCAAGTCAGAAGGAAATATGGCTAAGGAAGAAGCAACAACGTTACTGGCAACTAACGGTAAACCCGCCGTGTACTGTATGAGTGTATGCGAGAATGGCTCCGCGTAGCAAATAATATCCGCGAAGCAAATAATATCCGCGAAGTATGCAAATTAGACACGGCCTATGACGAAAAAACCACATGACATTTTAATCTCGATTAGTCCAGACATATTAGCTTATTCCATTTTATATTAATAATAATCAGGGGCTTAGCACTACAGGTGATAGTTTTCAGATATGTAACTGACCTTTTAATTTTTTGGGACTGGGCCTGAAAATTTTTAGTCAATGTCATGATAAATGGGACTAAAGTATCGTTAACGAGAGGATAAGAAATGGGACAGAATCTTGAGGCCTGTTTTGTGAGAGTAGAAATATCAATTCTACAGTCTGTCGCCCCACTCACTAGTGGTACTACTAACTGGGCGATTCACTGTAACTGTGAATATGATAATGATGAGATTCTATAAGACAGAGGAGTTGAAGAATGATGACATAACAAAATTTAGATTATGTAACTGAGCCTTTAATTTTGGGGGACTGGGTCTGAGGGGACTTCAATCTGATTAAAATAGAGATCTATATTTCATTTTGTTTTTTTATACTTTCGATGGCCTACACTCCATGAAGATCTGACAAGTTATAGCCATAGGTCACGTCAGGGGTCAAAAGACCGACTTATGACCCTATGACGTCAGACATTTGATTAACCAATCAGCATTGATGTTACTAGTGGATTACCCACAGTTCCGTGAAAAACATGCCTAAAGTTTGCCGTAACAGACCGTTTCATTGGCTTATCCCTGACACCATTCAGAACACAAGTTAAATAACAACTCTTCCAGATCAAAGTGTAGTAAAGACAAGTAAAACAAAATTTTGAACTATAAAAACAAAACGAAATAGGATCTGTGTTTTAACCAGATTGAGGGGACTTTGTCTCACGGGGGCACTTACTGGACTTTGGGGTCTGGGGAAAGGTTTTGCAGAATTCTGATGGTCAGAAAATACTTACAACCTGAGTAAAATACGTTTTAATTTTTACTGGGATTAAATATGCAACAAGTAAAAATTCTTAAGTTCAAGTTCAATAGATCGCTTAACATTTCATAATTTAAAGATTTTTTACATATTTCTGAAACAAACTATCCTTCTGATAGCTTCTTAACAACTGTTCGACTAATGTTATTCGTATGAAAATCAATAATATAATTTGAATTATGACAAGCCAACAGTGAGGCTGATGTCCCCCGCCGAAATAGGAAAATAATTAGAGGACACATATAAATTTATCACAAATTATCTTTTACAAAGTATTGAACAATCAAACAGTATATCTTTACTTATAGTCTAAGCATACAATGTTTTTGATGGAATAATTATAGCATATTA